GCCCCCCCGGTGCCGCCGCTCGGGGGTCCCGGGGGGGTCCCGGGGGGTGGGGGGGGGGGGGGGGGGGGTTCGGGGGGGTCCCGGGGGGGTCCCGGGGGGGTCCGGGGGGGTCCCGGGGGGTCCCGGGGGGTCCCGGGGGGTCCCGGGGGTCCCGGGGGGTCCGGGGGGGTCCCGGGGGGTCCCGGGGGGTCCCCGGTGTCCCCGGTGTCCCTCGGGATTGAGGCCGCGGGGGGGGGGGATGATCCGGGGGGGATTAAAACCGGGAATTTCCCAGCAGCACCCGCGGCTCTCGCCCTGCCCGGCACGGGGGGGCTCGGCCGCGCCCCTCCCCCACCCCGGGACCCCCCGGAGCGGAGGGGCACCCCCGGGGGGAAGGGGGGGAGGGGAGGGGGGGAAATCGACCGTTCCCATGGCAACGGGATCGCCATGGCGACGGGATCGCCATGGCAACGGGATCGCCATGGCAACGGGGTCACCATGGCGACGGGATCACCATGGCAACCACATCCCCTTGGTAACGGGATCTCCTTGGCAACCACATCACCCATGGCAACCACTGCCTGTGGCAACGGGATCACCATGGCAACCACATCACCATGGCAACCATTGCCTGTGGCAATGGGATCACCATGGCAACAGGATCTCCTTGGCAACATGGTCACCATGGGAACAGGGTCACCATGGGAACAGGGTCACCATGGCAACGGGGTCACCGTGGCAACGGGATCGCCATGGCAACCACATCACCGTGGCAACCATTGCCCGTGGCAACGGGATCACCATGGCAACAGGATCTCCTTGGCAATGGGATCACCATGGGAACAGGGTCACCATGGGAACAGGGTCACCATGGCCAGGAGATCGCCATGGCAACCACATCACCCATGGCAACCATTGCCCATGACAACCACATCCCATAGTAACCATCTCCCCATAGGAACCATCTCCATGGCAACCACATCCCATAATAACCACCTCCATGGCAACGTTGGAGGGACACTGGGCGGTTCACGGAGGGGGGCGGAATTTGGGGGGAATTTGGGGGGAATTTGGGGGGGATTTTGGGGGGATNGGGGGGGGGGGGGGGGGATTTGGGGGGGGTTTTGGGGGAATTTGGGGGGGATTTTGGGGGGGGGGGGGGGGGGGGGGGGGGAGGGGGGGGGAATTTATGGGAATGGGGGGGAATTTGGGGGGGGGGGGGAAATTTGGGGGAATTTATGGGAATTTGGGGAAATTTGTGGGGATTTGGGGAATTTGGGGAAATTTGGGGGGAATTTCTGAGAATTTGGGTGAATTTGGGGAAGTTTGTGGGGAATTGGGGCAGATGTGTGGGAACTTGTGGGAATTTCTGGGGATTTGTGGGGATTTGGGGAAATTTGGGGAAATTTGAGGGAATTTGGGGGAATTTGGGGAAATTTGTGGGGATTTGAGGAAATTTGGGGGGATTCGGGTGATTTTGGTGGGAATTTGTGGGAATTTGTGGAATTTTGTGGGAACTTGTGGAAATCTGGGGGGATATGGGGGAATTTGGGGGTCTCCCCTCAACCCCCTCCCCTCCCAGTCCATCCCAGTACACGGGGGGGTTAAACTGGTTTATTGCTCTGCGGGGGGGGGTCCGAGTGCCCCCCAAATTCTGGGGGCCCGACCCCCCCCGGGTTAGTTTTGGGGTGCGGGGGGGGCGCTCCGGGGGTCCTAAAAGTGGGGGGAGGGGATCGATAACAGGATCGATAACAGGATCGATAATAGGATCGATATTAGGATCAGTAATAGGTTTCCTTCTCCACCCATCCTGCAAAAAAGGGGAGGGGGTGTCAAGGAGACCCCAAATTGCCAAAATCCCCAAATCCCAAAATCCCCAAAATCCCCAAATCCCAAAATCCCCAAATCCCCAAAAACCCAAAACCCCAAATCTCCAAACCCCAAAACCCGAAATCCCCCAAAATCTCCAAATCCCCAAAACCCCAAATCTCCAAACCCCAAATCCCCAAATCCCAAAATCCCCAAATCCCCAAATCCCAAAATCCCAAAACCCCAAAATCCCAAATCCCAAAAACCCCAAATCCCCAAAACCCCAAACCCCAAAATCCCCCAATCCATTCTTTTAGGGTTCCCATTTTTTGGGATTCCAGTTTTTTTTGGAAATTTCTCCCAGGATTTTCGATTTTCTGGGGTTCTCTCCCATTTTTTCGGGTTCTCCCCATTTTTGGGGTGTTCCCCCCATTTTTTCAGCTTCTTCCATAATTTTTTAGGGTTTCCCCCCCATTTTTTTTGCCGTTCTCCCCATTTTTTTG